TCCGGGGAAAGGGTCTGGATGATTTGGCTCGGGTCTGGGATTTGCTTGATTTTCAAGGCTCGCAGATCATTGGCCTCCAGGAATTAGGATGTCTCCCTGAACGATGTGTTTCGAATGACGTTGTACTTCACCACGAGATTTTCTTGTCTGGCCAGTCGTATACTTTCTTCTATTGCACCCCATCACATGCCTTCCGAGGATCAGCAGTAGGCATACCGACAACTTGGCTTGGAAAGGTCGAGTCAACGAAGGCCCTCTGCACAGGTACAGGTATCATTCTTAAAGATCAAGGGGTACGACACTTCCTTGCATCAATTCACCTGCCCTACAGGCTTCGTGAGGATTGCCTGCAAGTCTGGCAACAACAAGTCGAAGAACTAATTCAATTTGCAACTGCACGTAGGTACCACGATGAGATTTGTATCTGTAGCGACCTGAACTACGACATTCTCGACATTGTGAACGTGGACGAAAGAGGTGTGCCCTTTGGGCAACTGCTCCGCACATTAGGTCTGGAGCACTCAAGACCCCAGGTTCCTACGTGGACTAACACGAGAGGTGCTCAGTCCCGAATTGACTTTGTGTTGTTTGCGTCGCCTTCCATGCAAACCACGGACGACAGAGTAGTGGCTGGATCCGACAAAGTTATTGGATCTGATCACTGCGCGACGACAATAAGCATACAGTCCCTGCCAGCACAAGGCCATAGTAAGTTTCAGAATTCCAGGTGCGGCAAATGGTGGACCCATGGTCCCACTCTGCTGACCAAGGCCGCGGAACTTGCCTCTGAGCTCGACTTATCCATGAAGGACTTGGACATGCATGCCATTGAGAAACTGTGTAGTAGTTGCTCCAAACGAATCTCAAGCTGTAGGTTTGTTGACCCACCTGAAATCAAGCATCTCATCCAGGAACGTAAAAAGGTACGAGGCCCTGGGTCCAGAAAACTTGCCAAGCAAATTGCTGATGCCCGCAAACTCGCAAAGAGGGAATGGCTCACAGAACTCCTTCAGAAAAGTGCGGCGGGAGACTACAGGGCCATCTCGTACTTCCGCAAGCGCAACTCTGCCCTCTACACGCAAGGCTCGTATTGTTTCCGGGCGGGAGGCAAGACTAAGGCAGTCACAGACCTAAGACTCTTCTACCAAAGGAAGTACACGCCCGTCAACCCCCAACCCAGAAATCTGGCCATGGCGCTGTTCAGGCACCGTGCGGGGCCCATAATGAGCCCACGGCTACTAACGAGCGAGGAACTCATGGACGTGGCATTCCTCTGTAAGCATAATAAAAGTACCGGTGCGGATGGAGTGTCGTACGAAGCAGTACAGATGCTCTTGCAATCCGAGCTGAGCGAACATGTACTTGAATTGTTCAATGGGGTTCTTTTGGGGCTCACGCCAGTGCCGGAGGGGTGGCTGCGCAGTCATGTCTGTTTTCTGCCTAAAACTTCCACTCCCAAGTCGCCTTCGGACCTGAGACCCATAGTGCTTTCTAGCACTGTGGGAAAGGTGTTCACAAAAGCATTAATGTTGCGACTCAGGCCACAATTGCCGACAATCCAGGCCTTTCAAGTTGGAGGCGTTCCGCAGAGGCAGTTGTTGGACGCAGCGTGTGCCGTCCAGCAAGCTGTGCGGCTGGCTGAGCAATATGGGAAACCACTTGTTATCATTAAACTAGATGTAGCGGCCGCGTTCGATTCGCTGTCTCACGAAGCCATTGCAGCCTTCCTTAGCCTAGCCCAGGGAAGCCGCGAAGCCGAGCTCCTTCTCGAAATCGTGAGGAACAGCAGCGTAGATCTATCGCTCCAAGGCACCAAATGGACACAACAATTGCTCCAAGGAGTACTGCAAGGAAGCAGCTATTCGGCGGAACTGTTTGCACGTTGTGTAGACCACTACCTAGTGCCTGCTAACGAGAGATGGCAGGAACAAGAACATACGTGGCTTGTCACGCAAGACAACCGCAAGTTGTTCCTGACCCCTTTCGCGGATGACCTCGTACTTCTAGCTACATCAAGACCCCAAGCCCTGCGACTCCTACAGGACAGCAGTCAGGCACTGGGAGCCATCGGACTCAGGTTCAATTGGCGCAAGTGCTGCTACATTCAGACACCAGGACTGCCCCTCCAAGTTGGCCACGCCGAGGTTCGATGGGAGGAGACCATCATTTTTTTAGGTGTCCTGGTTGGGTTTCAACTCACAGGGCTCGCCACTCTCACAGCAAGGATGGCCAAGGTTACCAACGCCTTCTGGGCATACTTTCGTATCCTCAGGCAAGCCACCATTGGTCTGACTCAAAGACTCAGGCTACTTGACACGTTCGTGACATCACGATGGAGATGGCTTAGCCCAGCTGTACGCCCCACACATGCTGTCCAACAGTTTTTGCGTACTGTCCAAACGTCCTTCCTTTTCGCAGTTTTGGGATTTTCGCGGGATCCTTTTCAGGGTTCACTGGATTCTTGGATTGCCAGAAGAAGAGCCAGCAGATTGGCAGCACAGGAGGTGGGGCACCGTACATGGGAAGGAGAACATGCACGCGCTTTTTTCGGATACTGGGGACACGCCGCACGCTATGACTTGTTTGCCTCCATTCCCATCGCCGTCATGTTGCGTGTTCGGGGCCCGGAGTGGCATTTTGCGAATGGGCCTTTTGTGCGTAGGTTGGTAGGCAGAACCAAGAGCCTGTGTGCAGATGTTAGTCGCTTCCTGCAGAACGCGTGGGAAAAGTATCTCAAGGACACTGGTGCCTCTCCACCGACCTCGTGGCTACGAGGAGCGTCAGACAGAGACACGTGGAAGGCTTTTACACAGCATTGGACTACACAAACCGGAGTCCAAAGCAACAAGTTTTACAGTGAACCACCAGAAGCCGTAGATTTGCGTGGATGTCAGCTTGTCCAACATGGGGACAAGTTCAGTCTCTTGCATACGGGACACCCACCAATTGAGGAACCTTTTGCTGTCTCATTTCTGAGACTGAGCGAGGCCCCCGACTCAGGACCTGACGACCACGACGAAGAACATGTACTGCGTGTCTACTCGGATGGGAGTGCGTCGAACAACCGCAAGGGCCAGGCGGGCGATGGTGGAGGAGCCGTTGTCCTTCTGCCCCCTTATGGGGACACAAGCAAGATGACTGTTTGTCACTTCAAAATCCGCAGGCCCTGCACCAACATACAAGCTGAACTCCAAGCTGCAGCCCAGGCACTTCGCATGATCAGGACCTTTCGCCTGAAGCATCCCCACATTCCGGTATGCTACTGCACTGACTCCCAGTACGTCCTGCAAATCTTGGAAGGCGCCTTTCAGGGGACCCACTATGCCTCTGTAACGAACGAAATCATCTGTCTTTGGAGCGAACTCTGTGTCACAGTGGAAGCACGACATGTCAAGGCCCATAGCAACATTTTACTCAACGAAGTAGCTGACCGTTTCGCAAAGGCTGGGGCCACTTTGTCGCATTACTGTAAGGTTTTCTGCACATTGGACCACAGTCAAGCTTTCGTGACAGGACGCTCTGACATGCCCAATTTTGTGCAATGGCTNNAGTAATGTGGTAAGTCCGTTTTCGCTGAGTGTACCTTTGTGTCATGCAGCACTTGCCGCATCGAGCAAATCATTTTCTCCGCGCCCCGACCTCTCCATCTTGTCACCAGATCGCCATGGATCACGGGGACAATCAGGCCGCGCGCACTCAATTCGCAGGGATGAGCCAGGCTGGCAACACCGTGGACTACATGCAAGACTTCGTGCAGAAGGCGCACGCGGTGGCCGTACTCCCCCAGACCTCCACTTTGGGGTTGTTCGCCATCATGGGTGTGGTCGGCCTGGTCATCCTATGGGGCTTTCAGAGTAGCTTCCTCCGAAGCCTCATGACGAGTCTGCAGGGGAGTGTCAAAGTCCATATCACCAACATCATGGAAGACACGCAGAAGCTCCTGCTCGACTACGTCAAGGAACACCTTGGAGCACGCATAGAAGAGCTTGCAGCTAAGGTGGAGACACTTGAGCAGAGAGAGGCCTCCCCACCTGACACCGAAGCGCTCCAAAGCAAACTCGCCGCCGACACCGAGGCACTCCAAAGCAAGCTCGCTGCCGACACCGAGGCACTCCAAAGCAAGCTCGCTGCCCTTGAGAAGGCGGTAAAGGACCTGGCCGCAGGCCCAGCTGCCCTCGACGTCAGTGGTCTTGGTTCAGACATTTGGGACAGTCTTCGGCCCGTCCTGTCCCAGTGGAGCCAGGGACAGACGTCGAAGATGCAGAAGGCAGTGGAGGACTGGCTCAAGGACAAGGCCACTGCCCCATCCTCAAGCAAGGACGGCAGCCCGGACGCCAGTGAAGAGATCAAGCAGCTCAAGGACTCCATGAAAGCGGTCCAGACACTCGCGAAACACTTGTGTGACGAGAAGCATACGGCCTTGACCGACATGCTTCAAGAAGTGCAAAAGTTGGCCAATGACAAGCACGCGGAGGCCCAGGCCAGTGCCAACGAGAAGCACGCCGCCCTCGTCACCAAGGTGGACAACGTCACGGGCTACCTCAGGGAAGACCACGCGCTCATCGTGCGCCTCAAGGACAAGAATGAGGAGCTCAGCAAGGACGCGCTGGGGCACAGGTCGGCCATCTTGGCGGAGATCAAGAATGTGACCCCGGTCATCAGAAGGGGCGCTGACATGATCGAGAGGACCCTGAACCTCTTGGCCAAGGGCGACCCCAGCCCGTGGGAACAGGAGCTCAAGAAGGTGGCGGACGACACGAGCCACACGCTCCATTGGGTCGCCGGGCAGGAGGAGGAGCTCCAGAGTAAGGTCACAAAGATTGAGTCCTTGATCACAGGCCTCTTGGACAACGTCAACCTTGGACAAGCACAGTGAGATCATGGGAATGAGATTGCGTGCCCTCAGCGAGGTGCAGACCAGCCTGGACAGAGTGGTGGCACAGACGCAGCCCAGGCCTTCTCCGACGCCAGCGCCGCAGCAGCCGCCTAGCTTCCAGCAGAGCAGCCTCACAGCAGAGCCCGCGGACCCCCGCCGGCGCCGACGTACACACCGCTGGTCGAAGAAGTGGGCTTGGGAGGACATGTGCCACAGATCCATGCACCGCACTCCCCGCCTGTGCTCCTCACGAACCTCGACACGCTGACACAGGCGCTGAACCAACGAGGAGGCGGAGGGGGCTACTGAGCCACAGTGTCGCGAGCTAGAGATCCAAAGGCCACGGTGCCTGGTAGATTTTGGCTTGTGAAGTGCAGTTTTGCAGCATCGCACGCAACATAGCACAGTGCAGGTTAACTACTTTAGGCGTGATGTAATTTTTGCATATTCTGTCAAGTTCTGCACTGATGCGAATTGCCGTGCTAGCTGCCTGTCCTTGCACTGTCCTTGCCTTGTACTGACTGCCTTCCTTGCACTGCCTTTCCTTGCCGCACTGTCACCTTGCTTTTGTACTGTCCCTCTTGTACATGTGTATCGAGGGTTGCTCTCAACCAGGGACGTTACTGGTAGTCTGCGTCCGCAAAAAAGGACCGTCCGGAGGATGCTTTTGCAGCTACAGTGCAGGTCTGTGAGCCACCACCCCAAATGGGCCCGCCAGTGAAGTGCTGAACCGCATACCGCCAGTTTGAAGGCTCGAAGCCCCCCTACACGTAATAGGTGTAGCCAAGCCCTTACTGCCCGGTTCATGTCCTTTGCGTCTCCACTCAAAAGCAGCCCCAGAGAGGCCCTGGATCTCTGCTCTCCGGGCAGACCCATGCCGCAATCCACTGCTGCTCCACTCCTCGGTTGTACTGTGTCTAGTCGCTCCCCGATTGTTGTAGATTCTGACGATGACACGGAGATTGATACAAGCACTCCGGTTTTGAGGCCCCAGGGCCAGTCACTTGGCTTAACTCAGGACTGTCGACTCCAACCCGTCGAACATGCAGCCCTCCACCTGTTGCACGCAAGTAACAGACCAACGTGCCAGCTTGACATAATCAAACTTCTTAGGATGCTGCCAGGTTCCGAGTTTAAGAGAGGTCCCAATGGCTGTAGGTATGTTGTAGGAGGCGCAAGTCCAAGGTGTCGCGACTCTACCCTAACCCACTCCCTCAACATGCCCTTTTTCAACCTACTTGTCAATCGGTACATACACTGGGTTGCACCCCAACACAAGCACACTACCTACGTCCTGAGGTACGGAATGGTAGGTGCACCGCATAGAGACATGCGTAATGGCCCAATCCACTCACTGATACAGGCCCTCGACACGCCCAACTGGGCTAAGGATGCAGGATGCGATGGGGAGTACACCCAAAGTCCACCAAGGTGAGACCCTGTGGGGGAGAGTCGTCCCACTGCTGCGACCGTACACTTTCGATGCCAGGCGTCTTTTGCATGCAGGACACGTGGAGGACCCAGCACGGTCATCAGAGCGCCTCATTCTTGTTGCGTTTACTGTCATACATGCCTCCGCGCTAACGAGCCCCATTAAAGGTCGTCTCAGTGCCTTAGGGTTTAACGTTCCTAGCGAAGCTGACTGTTTTGTAGCATTGCATGGAGGCTTGGAACCAGAAGCACCCAGGTTGCAGCAGATGTCATTGCACGCGTTTTTCCAAGCTGCCGGCGAGAAAACCAATGGGCATGACGTAATTACCACGATAGACATGTAGTCAGAACGGTAACCGTGCCTTGGGTGCGGCTTGGCCGCATTGTTTTGTCGCTTGGACGCACAGAACTGTTTTCGTCACTGGGCTGCACTGGTGGATGCAACTTGGCCGCACTTCTCCAGACGCTTGGCTGCATGAGATTTGTGCAACACGCGCCTCATTTAACAGTACCCCCCCAAAAAAAAAAACTTTTGCTGCTCTCCCTTGCCTGCACTGTTTTCCTTGCTCTTGTCCTGCACTGCCCTGCACTGACCTTGCCTGCTCCCTTGCCTGCACTGCCTGTACTGCTTTCGCCCCTGTGGAGTCCCCTCTCTTCGTCGCGTGAACCCGGGCTGGGGCTTTAGTTATGTTGGTGTATCGCCTTGTGGGTGTCCCTAATGAAACCACGACCCTGCGCCCTTCGGAAGCCATGGACTCGCGCCTAACGGAATGGAGACCACTGCTGAGCCTTGAGATATGTGCTGGATCTTACCCGACAGTAACACCATGGTGGCGGCTAGTATGCAGCAATCGAACGATTTCCGCATACTCGCCGCCGCCAATGAAGACTGACGCTAGCCAGCATGCCCCGGTCGTGGCTCATGTCGACCGGACCCTTGCTCGCAGCTTTGCCTCCTGATCAACGAACGTTGGGAATGAAGCCTGGCACTCTCTGCATTGCCCCATCTGGTGCATCAGGCTAGGCAAAGACCTGAACAGCCTCTTGAAGCTAGTGGCTCGGTTCCGGACCAGTGGATGCCGAACGTTGGGAGAGGAGTCTGGCACTTTCTGCATTGCTCCCTCGGGTGCACCTGTCTCAGCAACTGCTGACATGCCGCATTGGACGGCTTTTCGAATCTGGTTCTGCCCGATGCCTTCCTGAACAGCCAAAACGATGGAAACAGGGACATTGCTGGCATCTAGAGTACTACGGGTTTGCCACAATCCTGCACTTACAGGGCGTTGCAGAATGCGGATGCTGGATTTCTGGATGCCGTCTACTGGCACTGCTGGATGTTGTGGACCTGCCCTCTTTGCGAATCTCACTGCGAGCTGATGAGAAAGCACTGCTGGCACCGGGAGTGCTGTCGGAGCGCTACTATTTGGTGACTGTCGAGACACACTGCTGGCACCTAGAGTGCTGTTGGCGTTGTGCGATCATGCCCGCAGCGAGCCTTGCAGAGGGTGAATGCGGATTTTGTGAAAGCCATGTGCTGGATGCGGTCAGTCTGCTGAAAACCTGGCCTGATTGCTACTCTAGACCAGTCTGCTACCTCCCTGAACAAGTTCTGCAGAAGATGGGGAACATAGAGCCGATGACCTGTGCTTGAGGAGGGATCTTTCTTGATACAGGTCGAGGTGCACAGCAGTAAGGGAGTTGCTTGTAATTTCCTGACGCCTTGCTTGCACTGAGCTGGCAGCTTTGAGAACATGGCTGCATCATCCTTGAGAGCTGCCTTGTAGTTTCATCTCTGTAGCCAGTGATTTTGGCTGTGGAGTTCGATTTGGACATGTGACCTGCCATGCAGTGTCAGCGCGCTGACGTTGCCAAGTGGGAGCCAAAAAATAGTACTAAAACACTTAGGGTCATATGATTGCAGAAGATCTTCTAAATGGTTGCAGATGCTGACTATTTAGACCTTTCTTGCACATGATCAAGCTGCACACGAGAAAGTAGATTGTTATTATTGCGTTGTACTTCGGAAAGTAGTCTGCAAAACTCTGGGACTAGAAACCAGATAAATCTCGTTTTCTTCATATATTGATGAGGTGAACTCTGCAGAGAACCAATCAGAAAATATGTCTAATGTAATCTTGTATAAGTACGAGATCTGTCGAATAACAAGCTATTAAACTTGTTCCATTGTTGGGATCATCGTTGGTAGTTTTGCCACACAGAACTCGATTCGTTTCAAAGCGACAACGAATTCGAAGTCTTGTAAGCATGTATAATATTGGCTGATTTGTTTGTATTGATTTGTTTATATGCATATTTACCTTCACCTTCTTGTTGGTGCTCATGTGTCGAGTTTGGGAGGCTTAGGTGCACGTATATTGTTTGATATCCTCCATCTTGCCTTTCGGTTCAAGTCGTGGCAGTTGAGCGAAAAAGGCAAGACATTTGCCGAGCCTAGGCCTAGGCTTCAGGTGTTGCTACCTGGGTGCGGAGTTGCCCGCTTTGCTATGGCAGATAAGCCTAATCTTTCGGAGGGGTATGGGTACCATACGGCCAGGCCTACTTTGGCCACGCCGGCCTACTCGGATTGGAGAACTCCGATCGCAACATTGTGTGCTTGGTGCACTGGAGTCGGGGTATGGAGATTCAGCACGTGCGCCCTGTTTTCGACCGGTTGCTCGAGTGGAATGGGGAGTTGCCCCCGACACCTCCTTTACCGGATCATTCACTCGCAGAGAGATTGTGGTCAGCCCGGGAACACCTCCCCTCGCAGCCTGGGCTCTCGTGGAGCAGTGCGCCCGAAGGCTCACGGAGGATGAAGCCCGTGAGGCTCCGTCTCCGGCCTTACCGTGTCGGACATAGGCGCGCTCATGTACGGCGGGCCCTGTGGCACTGGTTCGGTGCGATCCAAGCTGGCGACGGCACCAGTCTCTACTGTGCATGCCTGTCATGCGGACTGCCCACCGGGCTTATATGCGGCAATTGCTCTGCCACGTGTTGCCCGGACGGAGTGCAGGCCAGTTTGCAGGATGTGTCCCGTGGCAGATGAACCTTGAGATGGCACGGAGTGACCCGCCCCAGCTGGCTTTGCAGGGAGAGGCAGGGACGAGACCTCGGCATATTTTGTCTGGCAATGGCGACGCGCCGTGTCTTGACTCCTCTCTGTCTCCCTCCTGCCTTGCAGCCCCTGCCGAAGAACGATGGGGTACTCGATGTGGCTGGTTCTCGGCCCAGGCCCCTGCTAGCAGAAGTCATGGCGGGGGCTTATGCGCAGCGGTCCATGAAAGCGCGGAAGTTGCTTCGGCATGGAAGTCGGTCCGAGAGACGGTCGACGAGAGGGCGCTTGCTTATGCGCATGAAGCCGTACAGGCGGGGGCAGCAGCGGCGAAGCCATCTGCACGGCCTCTGCTAGTGAGGCGCCGAGCCGTGCAGCCCAAGGCGCCGGCAACATCCGGCAACTTCAGCTCACCAGCCCAAGCCGATGGAGCATAAGAGCGGTATACCACTTTCAGTAGAAGTGCTTTTGCGAGTAGTGCATTGGGAAGTTGAGCCGAGGAGGGTTCAAGGCAGGACCGGAGCCCAGGGGTGGACGCAGGGTCTCCGGCAGGATGCCAATCCTGATGTGTTACCAAAGCACTTCCTATGAGTCTCTACACAGGTTCTGCGGGAGACCATGGTGGTGCACTCCTAAAAGAAGAGACGTGTTGAGCGAATGCAGTTGCCTAAAGTTATCGGCCAGGTAGGTTGGAATTTAAGGATCAGTCTAGTCGCGTTGGAGCAGCTATCCAGACGCGATCCGCCGTGGCCATTTTGATCATCCCACCCACTCCATTCTTTCTAATATGGGGAGTATGATTATGGCTCCGAGAGACAGATCGGCTTCCGTGTGGCATACCCAATGACGCGGTCGCGAGCAAGCCGTGCGACTGCTGTGTTGCTCAGTGAGTGTTCGCACGGTACCGAGCGATACAGACTAACACATGTGTACAAGTATACACACATCGAGAGTGCATCGGGAGAATGATCGAGTTCATAACAGGACATGTATTTCTGAAAATATGTCGTTTTTGTTCGATGATCTGCATAATTTCGTATTGATAACCTGCAACTATATCGTTTTTACAAGTTTGAAGCAACTAGCGCTCATACAAGATATTTACAGCCATTAATTATTTTGTGAAAAAACACAACTATCGAAATAAGGCGAGAATGCTGTTGGTGTTCACTTGGTGATTTTTGCATGAGTTTGCGAGAGGCCTTGTTCGACGGGCCAGGCAATGTGAAAGCACATCGACAGCCTCGCTGTCATGCATTGCGAAGTAGGCGGACTAGCATCCTAAAAGATCGGGCAGAGGCCCTGGCCTTGCGGCCTTGCAGCGCTGTGCGACTGGCACGAAGCGGAGTCACGTCCAGCCCAACAAGGGCTGAATTCGCACCTCCTAGTCTTCGGCAGTTTGGCAAGGAATCTTTGGGTCGCAGAGAGGCCACATTCTACCAGAAACGAGTTCGAAGCCGAGACTTTAGAGCAAGCTCAGACAGATTCTGACCTGTGCATGTTGTCGATTGTTGTCGCTTCTCGAAACCATCGCAGAGCTGACCAAAAACCATGCTGTCATGCGGGCCTTCCAAGGTTGTGGCCCTGTATTTGCCGGCTGGGGCTTTGGCAGACCTTGATCTGCGACGTCTTCAGAACGTGAACGATGGCTTGACTAGATCGACATGGAGACGTTGGCAACCAGTCTGCATCATTTCTTGCTGATTTTTGGGGCGAAGCAATGTGAAACGACAGGCCAAAGTAGTCGGAGCTCGTGGCGCGCGATGCTTAGCTTGACTGGTTCGTCTTACAAAACTGCTTATCATGTAGCGGTCTGCCGATATTCATGCCAAGGCATTGTATTCTTGATGGAAACATGCCTCATGCCGTGGGCCTCAGCATCTCAAGTGGCAACTGTAGCTCGAGTGCAGCTCGTGTCGATCTTTTCTGTGGCCACGGAGACGAGCATTTTGAAGACTCGGTTTTTTGCTCGGCTCTGGCGCTTCACCGGCATCTAAATCTGCAGCATTGTGCTTCCAGGGAAGAGTTCTGTAGAACTTCGAAGAGCTCTTCTTTGGCCGAATCATGGCTGGGGCTGTACTCCTACGCCTTCTCAGCCTGTGGGGCAGTGTGTCTGCAACCTTTCAGCACACTGCTTGTCCGAAAAACAACGGACTTGGACTTCTACAAAAGTCGCCATCCCTCATGAAGGTGCAAGCTGATTATGACATTGGCATCGGTGAAGGCGAAGATTTCTACCCTGTGGATGGCGGGGTCAATCGTGCCTGCCGTGGAGCTTC